TCTTGTGAATCAATTAACACATCACCTAAATAAACAACCAGCCCTTTGAACAAGTGCTTGTGCAAAACTTCATTAAGTTCATGAAAACCCCCGGAGCCCCGGCTAATCTGAAAGGCATGACCAGGTATTCAAACTGTCCCAGCGGGGTGTTAAAAGCAGTTTTGTGCTCATCCCCTTCTCTTATATGCACTCTGAAATAAACATCTCATAAATCCAGCTTAGTGAGTACCTTTCCCCAAGAAGCCTCAGCCAGCAAGTCCTTAATGAGAGGGAGGGGTAGGCATTAGACATAGACACTCCATTCAAACCCCTATAGTCTGTGCATAATCTGAGGCCCCCATCCTTCTTTTTCCGGAACAGTACTGGCGCGGCAAAAGGGGAGGTAGCGGGTCTAATGAACCCCCGGTTCAGGTTCTTGTGTATGAACCTCCGCAGTTCCTCCTTCTCCACAGGGCTCATAGCATACAACTTTCCTTTTGGTAGCTTGTGGCCGGGCAGTATTTCAATAGCACAGTCAGTTTTATGGTGGGGAGGTAGCTCATCCACCTCCCCCTCCTCAAACACCTGGGCCAAGTCTCTATACTCTGGGGGAATGGCATTCAGTTCCTCTTGCACCAAACAAACTCATTCAGGTGTAGGGTGAGGTTCCTCCCCCCATTCTGGCTGCCACAGATGCTCCTTATATCGGGGGTCTAGGAAAGTGAGGATCTCCACACTCAACTGTACGTAGGGGTCGTGTGCTTGCAGCCATGGACTACCCAGCACCATGGGGAAACTTACTGATGGTTGCACTACAAATGATCTCATTTTCCAATGTTCCAACACCCCCACTGGCAGTTGAACCGTGTGATACTGACATGCTTGCATTGGGGTACTGTCCATTTGGGTAACTACTACCGGTTCCTTTAGCTTGTGCACCTTAGCCCCCAAACCCATGACCATTGCGGAACTTACTAAGTCTCTTGTACACCCAGAGTCCATAAGGGCTGTTACACAGATTTGAGTCCCCTCCTTGGGGTTAAAAATGATAACAGTCACAAAAAAGGGAAGAAGAGGGTCTCACCAATTCTTGCACCAGGGACTTTTGGACCTGTTGACTGGTGCCCTTCACAACAGGTCCTGGCCCTTTCCTGCCCCCTGAGGCCTCTCGGAGTCACTAAAAGAATTACTTTCTGAGATATCATACTCTGCAGCTTGCAGGGCTTTGGGGGATTTCAATCTCCTCCCCAACGGCTTTGCTTTCTTTTCTCTGTAATCCTCACGGCACTCTCTCTCCTCAATTTGGGGTCTCGTGCACTCAGCTGCGAAATGCCCAGCCTCCCTGCACCGAAGACAAAGACTCTTCCGCAGGCGGTGCTCTCGATCCCCACCAGGCAGTGATCCTCTGCCTCGAGGCATCTTTTGACTCCCCACACCATTACCAGGCCCTCTGTAATAATAGAGCTTCAGCAGGTTGTGCCGGTTTTTGCCCTCGCAAGCCACTTGGCTCCATCCCCCCAGCATTAGGGGGTTGTCCTGGGCTAGAGCCTTCTCTAGAATAATGGTGTTCAGCCCAGCCTGGTAAAACTCAATTAAAACCCCTTCAGGCCACCCCTGTAGTCTGGCGATGGTGGCTTTGAACTCACCGTAATATTCCTGTACCAACTGAAGTTCCTGGTGACGCCACGGAGGTGGGTGCAGGTCTTCTCCAATATAAGCGGGTCCTTGAACTGGTGGCATAGGGCTTGTGTGAAAGCATCCACATTCCGCAGCTCTGGGGCAGCAACGTTGTAAAGCCCCACGAGCCAGTCTGTGGCCCTTTTGCGGAGCCTCGACCCCATGTATTCTGTGTGCTGCTCATTGGAGGTGAAGGTGTGACCCCACTCTCTGAGCATCTTCTGCACCTGGATGTCGAAGAAAGCCAGCTTCCCTGGGCTGCCATCGAAAGTGACCTCCAAAGCATCGCGGGGTCAGTCTCACTCTGTGGCACCCCCTCTCCTTGGGGGTGGGGGCTGCTCCATTTCCTCTGTGGCAGCCTCTTCACCGGACTCTTCGGAGTCTTCTTTATCCATGAGTTCCTTCTCCACCTTAGGGAGGTTCTTGATCAGGAGCTGTAGCCCTTCTTTAAATTCTTTTACCGCTGCTTGCTTGTAGAAGTTACGGCTTCTACAAGCTTCCACTCTAAACACCCATGACTCCCCTCATGAATTCCCTCCCCCCCATATCTATGGCAAGCAGTGAAGTGGAACATGGTGAAATGAAACCAATGCTTGACACTTTATAACTTTGCAGAATTCACAGGACATCCCAAAATTCAGATTCACTTGAAGTTCCGCTTTGACAAGGCTGTTGCTCAGCCAGTTTCTTTTCTTGCTCCAGAGCGGCATCATTAAGCTGATGACTCTCTCACAGGAGGCATTGGATATTGGGATAGACAGGGCAAAAGAGACCAACTTCAACAGATGGCTGTAACCACTGTCTGGAATATGCCGGAACATCTTAATCCATTGCTGGTCTATCCTGTCTTCCTGTGAGCAAGTATCTTTTTGGCATTTCAACACAATGCAGACGTCATTGAAAAGCTTGTCAGTGTCTATTATATCAGGGCCAAAATTAAGAGCTTTGACAAGACTCTCTAAGTAATCCCAATTCACAGGACTGTCAAATGAGAGCAGTGCCATGTCTCTGAAAATTGATGTTTCAAAATTATACCATTTCTCAAGGTAGTTAATGCAACTTGTCTGCTCCTCTTTGGAATTTTGCCCTTTGAGATGCAGAGACATTAACCAGAATGGCTGTAGCAGATCTTCCATAGAACTGTTTCTCTTTCCTTCCCTTAAGTTTTTCACGAAGGTCATCCATAATTTGGGGAGTTTGATGCAGCTAACTTTGGCACTTTCCAGGTTTTTCACAATGGGATTGAATAATGCCATCAAATTGTGTAGGAAGTACACATAACACAGAGGAAGAGATTATCCCTCTTCTGGACTAAATCCTTCCCACACAATTTTTTCACATTCTTCTTCCCCACACGACAGGAAGTACGCCCTCAGTGCAGGCCGGCACTGTAGAACCCGTTCAATAGCAGGCATAAGTGACAACCACAATGTTGGACCATGCCGAATCAGATCTCTATACTCTATATCTACAAACTCAAAGAAGGACCTCAGGGAGTCTGTACTTTTGGCCGAGTATGGGTACATTGGATCATCTGTAACTGTTTCCCAGAGAGAGAAAGACACCTGCAGAGCTAAAGAAGTTCTGCCACATGCTGTTGATCAGGACCTTACATAATGGTTATTTCTGAAATGTTCATCACTATTTATTTATTTATTCAGAAATCTGAACAAGCATATTGGACATGAGACAGTCCAAATATCATGCTGAAAAACAGTATGAGATCAGTAGGAAACAATGCAGCCACAACAGTGTAATACACGCAGCCAACAGATATCACATTGTACAAGTTAGTGGGGTGTAGTACGCAGAAAGTCATCAGTTCCTAGAATTAGTTAAACATTCTGGAGATGAATGTGGACATAAATTGCTAGATTTTACTTCAGAGGGCTGTCACACACACACACAAAAATCCTGTACCTTTCCCTCAGGGAATAAGAACAGCAAACTTCCAAAGTCATGCATGACCACAAGAAAACTTTGGATAAAGCACCAAGGATGCTGTAGAATCCTACTAGTGAGTGTGGGGGGAAGTTATAGACCAATAGCAAAATATATGTTCATTTGTACCGAAAATCAATGAATAAAGAACCTGACCAAAGCACTCTGGTTTTTTTTGTTTTTTAAGCAGTTCAAGTTTAAGCAGAAAACAATCCAGGCCAAAAAAAAAGAGAGTTTGATTTAAAACAGTAACAGAAAACGCCAGCCGACTCATTCCATTCAGCTCACACACCAAGCATAATTCATAGCTTCAAAACAGGCCATAAAAAACCCACACTACCACAAAAATGCAGTGTCAGTTTGAAAATCATACTGCCATCACATTGTTCTTCAACAATAAAAAATTGATACCAATAGAATACTTTATACAGAAGAAAGCAAATAAATGGGGGGTCTGGAAGGAGGGAGGCAGGAAGGGAGGGAGAGGTGGAAAGAAAGCAACTTTAATTTTAGATGTATTCTCCAACTCCCCCCTTGCCACCATGCCAGTGGGCTTGGCTTGGAGAAGGGATTTAAAGACACAAATGCCTTCTCCAAGTCATTGGGTGGGGCCGCAGGGTGGGGGCTTGGAGAATGCCTTCAAGTTTAAATGTGTTCTCCCATTGCCATGCTAGCTCGGCTTGGAGAAGGGATTTAAAGAGACAAATGCCTTTTCTGAGCCAAGCCAGCTGGCCAGTGTGGCAGTGGGGTGGGGCTTGGAGAACACATTTAACTTTAAATGAGGAGGGAGGGGGAAAAGAGAGAGAGAGAAAGAATGAAAGGTGGAAAGAAAGCAACTTTAACTTTAAGTGCATCTTCCAAGCCCCCACCCCCACACCAGCTGGCTTGGCTTGGAGGAGGGATTTAAAGAGACTTTTCCGAGCCAAGCCAACTGGCCAGGAGGGAGGGATTTAAAGAGTCAAATGCCTTCTCTAAGCTGGCCGGCGGGGGTGGGGGTGGTGAGAAGGCACCTCAAGCCTACTCAGGTAGGGGGACACTGGCTGGGGAAGGGAAGACTGATCGGGGAGGCATGCCTCCCTTCACTCCCCCAGCTGCCCTGCTGAGAGCGGCACAATCTGTGTGAAAGAGCCGCATGTGGCTCCCAAGCCACAGTTTGGCCACCCCTGCTCTATGCTGTGTTTTGGAAGTAGATAGCAAATAGGCACTGTAGTGTTTGCTTCTTGGTGAAATCTATGTAAATTGTAAGAACAACAAATCATTGTCACATAAATATTTGTTCTCCAGAAACATTTTTAGTACATTGCCTCCTAATGAGAAATTCTCTTTTATGTATTGGCATCCTGTTTAATTCTATGTTGCTAGCAAGAATGAACCAGATCATTTAAAATTGTTATTTCTTCCAGAGAGGGGGAACAGTGGCTAAAGATCAGACGCGTGCTAAGGCAAAAAATGGTAAAGCCCAAAGATGTTGCTGTTTTCTCTGGAGGACTCAATGAAGTTATTGCTGATTTGATCAAGAGAATCTACACTCTCAAAAACCAAGAAGAAGATGGGGAAACTGTGACAAATATTAACAACCTTTTTTTCAAATATTCAATGGAAGGTGAGGTGGTGATTGTCTAATTTTGTACTGCTATATTCAAGTCAACATAGAATGTTGAGATGGTTCCTACATACAAAAGGTATATTGCTGTGATAAGCAATATTTAGTGTGTGTAGGTGGGAAGATTGTGTAACACTCTTGTAAGCTTTTAGATTTACTATACACTTTTAAAATGCCAGAGCCTTCACACATTTTCACTCTATCAATCACTATAATGATAAAATTAGATGTTATTTCTCTAACATTTCTCATAAATAATTCCGTTTTTACAGTTAACGTTTCAGATTTGTGTATTATTTCTCAAACATTTCTCATAAAGAATGAATTAATTTTGTTTCCAGTTGAATTTTTAAAAATATATCACTTAAATCTGTTTTCATATATTCTACTACAATTGAATGTGTGAGACTGTATGCAGGTTATTATAACTGCAAATCCCAGTTCTATGCATATTGAGTCAATGCAGCTTACCATTAAAGTACGGGGCTCAAATCTGGAGCTGACCAAGTGTATATGCTTAGGTGTGGTGCTTTGATATTATAAATATTGTGCATGTGTTTTATTTCTGTTTTAATTTGGAGTTTTATATGTATGTTACTGTGATTTAAAATGTAGGTCCCTTAGGTAAGAAAGGGCTTGAGGGGTAACTGAAGTGTGTTATGATTGGATGGTAGCTGTCCCTAGGGGGCAGCATTGACTGGATTGTGGAGGGAGAGTGAGTGCGTGAGTTGGGTGGGAGTGGGTGAAGAGTAAGGTGCTGTGAGAGAAATCTGTGTTCTTTGTGGAAGCCATTAGCCTAAGTGCCAAGTTAGGAAATTCAGCTTTTTGGAAGTTATTAGCCTAAGTGGCAAGTAAGAAAATAAGCCCTTCTGGCTAGATCTGTTCAAGGAACATTAGAGAAAGAAGAACTGTATCTATCTGTGTTAAGTCCGTGCTTAACAAAATAGCCAGAGAGTGATTCAGCAAAACTCAGGTTTATTTCAGCTCGACGATCAACTTCTCTGACACGGTACAACTTCTCTGATAGCCCGAACAGCTTCCCATTGCAGCTGCTCGGTATTTAAACATTCCCGGCTAATATAGCCACGCCTACTATACAGTTAAACAACCTATCAGGTTGAGACAATAAGGACCAATCAGAGTCTTTCCCGCTTATACACATTTGAACCTGATTGGACACAGTAGTCTTGAACTTCAATCCCTGTTCAAGACGAAGCTTAACATTGCTTCCTTATGAGATGATTCACAATCATCTTAATGCATTCTAGGCAGCACAGAATACATTACAATCTGAAATCATTAAGCTTATGAAATTTACTGAAATTCTAACTTCTGTTAGAAGTCTAACAGAGTCACTGTTAGACTTCTAAATAAACTCTATGACCGATTTCACACAAGAGTTGCGCCGCGGTCACACCTCCCTTTGCCCCGCTGATATTGGTCAGTTTCCCACTTGAAGTTGCATGGCCGCATTTTGACCCGTGGCTTCGCCCGATTTTCCCCGTGGTTTCATGATCCTCAAAAAACAGGATCACGAAACCGCGGGGAAAATCAGGCAAAGCCGCGGGTCAAAATGCAGCCATGCAACTTCGAGTGGGAAATTGACCAATAGAAGCGGGGCAAAGGGAGGCACGACCGCGGCGCAGCTATTGTGTGAAATTGGTCTATGTTTAGCAGAAAACAGCGGTTTTAGGGTAAAGGATCCCCTTTTACCTCAGAGACAAATGACACATGCTGTTCATTCTGTCCTTCTACCAAATATAACTAAGCTATCCTGTTCTTTGGGTCCTACTAAGAATTCTAAGGCAATAGCCTTTTGTGGTAGGGGAAAGTAGAAAACTCTAAGGAAGGCAAGGAGGCAGAATAATAGCTGTCACCTCAAAATAAAACAAAGAGGTGTTACATATAAGGGGTCTCAGAAAAGAGCAAAACATTACCGTAGAGGTCAGCTATACTATGCAAATTGTTACTTAAATTATTTTGGAAACAGAATAAAATCTGAGGTTTTATGTTGGTTTTGTGTGTGTGTGTGTGTGCGCAGGAGTGGCAACTATCCTGTATGAATGCCGCTTGGGGTGCCTAGAAAACCACATCCCCCAGGACACAGTGGAATATATCGAAGCTTTGGAGTTGATGTTCAGCAGTTTTAAAACTACCATGTATGTGGGAGCTATTCCTAAATGGCTTCGTCCAGTCATTCCAAAACCTTGGAAAGAATTCTGTAGATCCTGGGATGGACTCTTTAAATTCAGTAAGTTTAAATATATATATTTTTCTGAAATTCTAGGTCTCTGCTCAAGAAAATTTGAACTGTGTTAATAATGAAGGGGCATATAATTCTTTTCACTTACACCTCATGTGGCAGGTGGGAGGGGGGGGGATCCCCTGATTTAATGGACTTCTGCCTGCTGCTGGCCAACTGGCCAGCAGGGAGAAGTCCCACCCCCCAACAGGGAGACGTTCCACCCGGCATGACGTCCCCAATGTGATGACATCAAGCGGAAGTGATGTCATCACGCTGGGGCCTGAAATACCAGAGCGTCACCATGCAATGTCCTTGGCATGATGTCGTTACTTCCATGTGTTACTTCCATGTGATGTCTTCATGTCAAGGACCTCATGCACAGTCATGTCACCCTGCCCCCCCCAATTCCAGGACGCTCCCTCCCACCCCCCACCGGCAAGAGCTTGGGACCTGGCAACCCAATGTGGTAAAGAAAACACAAAAGGCTTACAGAGTTAATTTAAAAAGTAACATTTGAAGGAGAGGCCGTCTGCCTCCTGGTGGCATCTCAGAGGGCAATGAAAGGTCCATATTTGTTTTGTTGTCTTTACTGTTTTTGCAACCAGAGTCATCAACAGCAAACCCTCATTCCGCAGTAAATCTCATTCTACAGGATAACATGGAAGAATTTAAGGATTGCTACTGCAAAAGTTGTCATGTGATTTGACAACAGCTGCTAGAGATTTTGCCACACGCAAATTCGCAATGTTCCCCCTGAGCTGTGGAGTCTTGTGAGCAAAACTTCTGCTTTGTGAGGTACCGGCATTAAAGTTGTGAGTGAGCGATTTGGCTACTGCATAAATTAGTTCGCTCTGGAGCCATCCCTTCCTGAGCTAAGACAAAAATCTGTGAGCTAGAGGCTAAAAAACTGTGAGCCAGCTCACACTAACTTAGCTTAGAGGGAACATTGACGCAGAGTAGTTTGTTTGTCTTCGTCTCTAAGTAACCAGGATGATTTTGCTTCTGGAGAGAGGACATCCTGATTAAATAAAGGGGAGATCAGTTAATCTCTTAGAGCTGAAAATTTGGGACAATCAAACAAAATATGATCCATAGAGTCAATTTTACCACTGCCGCAATTATAGAGTCTATCTGAGTATGAAATCCCATTAAATCTTCCTGACATCACAGCTGAAGGTAGGGCATTCAGGCGCGCTAGCATGAATGCCCTTGTATACTTTGGGAGAATTAGCTCAGATAAGTAGTTTGGCATTGTTGTTGGAGGCTGAATGCCTACTGAAAAAGTTGAACACACTCTGTGGGCTCTAATTGACATGCTGTTGTAGTCAGAGTCTCTCAAACGTCTTCTAATGAGCTGTGACAATTCTTGTCTACTCATAGGTTGACTTCTGGATTTGCTTCAAGGTGCTGGTAATTACCTTCAAAGCCTTACACGGCCTGGGACCCACATGTCCGAGGGACCGCCTCTTCCCATATACGCCCCAAAGAGCATTACGCTCTATGGACCAACACCGTCCGGTTGTCCCTGGCCCAAAGGACGTCCATCTTGCCTCGACCAGGGCCAGGGCTTTTTCTGCCCTGGCCCCTGCCTGGTGGAGCATGCTCCCAGTCGAGATTAGGGCCCTGCGGGATCTTCTTCAATTCCGCGGGGCCTGTAAGATGGAGCTGTTCCGCCAGGCCTTTGGTTGAGGCAGCGGACATCTCTCTATGGCCTCCCTGAGGTGGTTGTCACCTAGCCACCTATTAACCCAAATAATATGCTAAAGAACCGTACAACCAGTAACTGTCAGAAGTGTGATTGAGTTTTAATATTTATTATTGTTTGAATTCCTAAGTTGTTTAATTTTAATTGTATTTATTGTACTGTTTTTATGAAGTTACCCTCCCTGAGCCTGCTTACGGGGTGGGCGGACTATAAATACAAATAATAAATAAATAAGTAAATAAATAAATAATAGGTCCATATTAGAAAACTGTTGACCACCAGCCAACTCAGCAAGCCAATCTTGGAAGCTTTGAATAGGATGTTGTTCTATAACTGGAAGTGAATTTACCATAAGTTTGTAATTCCCAGAAATTCAGACTGTGCCATTTTGCTTAGGTAGGTAGTGGACAAGCAACAGGTATCATTTTCCTAGTGTTTTCCAGTGAATGGAGCTCCCCTGCCCCTGTACACTAGTAGATGGCTGGTGGAATGGTGCAGTTAGGGCCAGTAGGCCCATTAGGGCTGCCAAGTTCCCTGGGGGGGTGGGGATCTGAACTAGGGTTGCCAAGTCGCTCGGACTCACCGGTGGGGGAGCGTTGCCGGGGTCTGGGAGCTGCCGATGGATGCGTGCACATGTGCGCTTTGTGCGCCGCCAGAACATCACAGGAAGTGACGCACGACGTAGAGCATGTTGGGGGGCATGGCCCCAATCGTTGGAGGGAAAACCATAGAGTTTTCCCTCCGACGATTGGGGCCACGCCCCCAACGTGATCTACATGGTTGCGTCACTTCCTGTGACACAGCCACGCCACGCTTCAGGGGGGCGGGGTTCCCCCCGGGGCCCGATTCCGCGGCGGCAGAAATCGGGCCTCCAAAGCGGGGGTTTACCCGCCCCGCCCCCACTTGGCAGCCCTAATTCGGCCGGTGGGGGGAACCCCACCCCTGAAGTGGCCAGATCAGGCCAACGTGCCCAGCGTGATGATGTCACCGGGAAGTGACATCATCACGCTGGGTACGTCACTAGGCGACACTCTAGCAATCACCCTGAAAACTCTATGGTACCATAGAGTACCATAAACCCGCGGACTGGGACCGGGTCCCCCCCGCTATGCCAGGTAAGAGACTAGGCAACCCTAAGGCCCATGTTGTATAATATGTAAATAAACATGTTTAGTTCCTACATAAGGAGCTGGGACCAATTTTTGGGGAACCTATGGGAGCTTTCTGAGCTCCTATTACAATGCCCCAGTTGTAAATATGTATGTTGGTGCAACAAAGACATGGCATAAGATGTGTGATCTGATCTCCTATCTTAAAAAAATAAACTATGTGTGAGATTCAGATCAGGGCCACAATGCTAGGGACTTTAAAAAAGAAAAGAAACTTTTCCTTCCCTGTTTACTGTGTTCCTGGCTTAAATTGTCCCTGCTCTGGAACTGCTGTTTGACTTGCAGTGGAAAATATACAGATAATCCGTATGTTGTTATCTTCCCTATGGGACAAATGCCTCAAGGGAGTCATAATGACTAAATCCTCTTCCTCCTCCAGTACCACATTCCCAATCCAAATCTGTACCAACATGAATGATTTAAAACCTGAAAAACCTTTGAGAAATTTTTCAGCACATCGTTTGCCTCTAAAGAAGTTGGTTGATTATAAACCACAATAGTTAGCACTAGCTTCCAAAACAGTATTGATTGCAAAGTGGTTTAGAGAACATGATTTGGATCTTAATATTAATCATATTTGCCCAGTCGAGATGTTATGACAAACTATGACTGGAGAAAGCTTGGAAATGGAGCTAGGAATTGCCATACAGTAAGGAAGGAAGGAAGAACATGAGAGTGCATTCCAGATTTCCCTGTTTTTAAGAGAAGAATATTTCAGTGACTGCTGAAACATATCTGCTCTTTAGTAGCTTTTATAGTCTCATAGCTTATTTTCTGCTCTGGCTGCAAGAGATACAGTTGATATGCTTTGCCAAAGTGACAAAATTGCTTGACAAAGGGTGCTCTGCTAATAGGTATTTTCACTGAGGCCATCAGCCTTTGAAGAGCTTTAGGATGTTAGAGTGAGAAATTATTTTTCTCCTTACATACCTGAAAGGTTCCCTGTTTGTTTGTGGGAACAAAATTACAAATGATATGAAAAATGAAATCTCGGTGAATTACTAAAATATTCATCTTTTCTATCTTTCATTCACAAAGGTCAAATTCATGTGGACAATAAATTAAAAGATATAAAGCCTTTCTTAGACCAAGGAGAAGAGGTTAATGGTGGACTTCTCACAACTCTTCTTAAGAATAAAGAACTTACAGTGGAAGAAATCTATGCCAATATGACTGAAATGCTTTTGGCAGGGGTTGATACAGTAAGTGTACTATTATTAATAGTATTTGTAGTCATAGTAACTGTGATGGAAGGGTGAAATATGCTTTGAAATAACATATGCTTGTTTGAGGAGGTTGAAGTTGGTTCCTTATTTCCAGTCCTTATTCATTCTGTATTCCCGATTTATTCCTGAGTTGAAGGGAAAAAACTAAGGAGAGTTTGAAAGCTCTGAACCCCAAAATAAGGTGTGGACCACCATATGTCATACACCCCCACATTCAGGGGACTCTCCCCTTCGAGGGGAAATCTGCCATTTCCTGGTCCAAAGCCCAGTTCTTGAGCCAGCCACTCCAAAGTGGGGCGCCCCAATTACAATCACACAGAAGAAGAGTGAAATGTACTGAGAAACGTTGAGTGATTTCAGC